CCCCAAAACCCCAAAACCCCAAAACCCCATCTCTACTTGGATAGATTTAGGAAGCAGATTAATAATAAGTTAAATTATAGAGTAGAATGGCTTAAAATAATATCAATAAGCTTGAATCTTACAATGAGAAGCAGCAGTCTGTAGGGATTGTTAAGGCTAGTCACAAAGGGTCTTTGAATCCATTGTATAACTCGGGCAAAAGCAATTTTTTCACTCTATCATCTCTAGGAAAAAGGAATCAAAAGAATAACTCAGAAGAGCTTGATAATCATCTGTATAAGACTCTGAATAATAAGTTATTTGACTTCGAAAAAAACTCACCAAAGACGTTACTTAAGCAGCCATTGCAGAGTAAAGCTAATATGATTAGATATTACTCTAATAATAATCTAACTAGTACAATTAATGCTATGAAGGATCACTTCCTGAAGCAAGTGCATGAGAAAAACCTGATCAAACAAAGGTAGTACCTCTTAAAGCGATATAAATCATCTGGTTTAATGATTCCAAATAACAGACTTATCACTAGACCTCCTTCGAAAATAGTTGTTGATGAATCATCTATCGATCTAGACAATTATATTTACTTATAAAGATATCAAATCCTTGATAATAAGCAAAATGACGCTGCTAGCCTCTAAATGATAAATAACTAATAAATGCAGGTAATTCCAAGTGAGCTTGATTAGTATCTGGTTAAGCTTGAAAAGGGGGAGACAGATTTTAACACAAGAAGGACCACTCTTTCCAAATAAAGAAACAATTTCATGATAAATGAGTAATTCAGATAGGACGAGGCTGTAACTCCTTCCATGTCAAGTTACAGGCCAGATTATTTAAGTAGTAATATAAGAGAACCTCGGTTCAATCCGATTGCTTAAATTTAGCCAGAAAAAGTTAATTTGTAATAAATAAGAAGTAGATATCTTAAAGCAAACAATTCATCTAAGAATCTGATTAATAAAAAGACTTCATCTAAACCATCTGATAATTAAATTGTTTAATACGAGACTCTAGATGAGTAAAATAGCATGGAGAGAACAAAGTCTCATTAGTCACCAAGAGTTGTAATTGAATAAAATTTGTTTAATAATTAAATGATAAGGCCAAAGACAACGATTTCATATTAAATTAATGGGCCTGATAACTATATCACAGTATAAAATGGTCCTTAGGGAATGAAAACTAGAAATTTGTGGTCAGGTAAAAGTAACTACTTCACAGGTTCGAGCAAGAAACTGATACTCAAAAGTAATGATGAGTTGTTTATGAACTTCTTTGATGCAACCTCATTGCCCTCACCCCCTATTATTCCTATACAAGAAGCAGTCAAAATGCAAAATAACTGTGAGAAGGAGAGATACTCTAAAATACAGAAAGAGTTACAAAAGATCCAAAAAGTAATCAATAACGATCCAGAAAATAAAAGGTACTTCGCTCTCACTGTAAGTTAATCTATTATTAATATCTATGTAGTTTTTATCAAAGCATTTAAATCGAACTCAGTTTGAGGATTAAGAAATTGATAAATTTGTCCAGTACCTGGAGTTTTATCATGAGCCTCCTTTTATTTTGCAATATACTCTGAAAGATTTGCTAATGGCAATTATTGACGGTAATCTAGATCTAGTTCTCAAGTATTAGTAAAAATTTGACAAGAGATTGCCTTCACCATTAGCATCAAGTTCACCACAAACTAAAAGGTACAGAGGCAAGAGTTCTAAAAAGATAATTATAAACTCGGTTGATTATGTTCCGATAAAACAAGTAATATCGCATTATAAATAAGAAATGGTTTCGAATTCCTGCAAGATTAGGTTCAAGTCTCCAATTGATATAGAACAAGACAAAATTAAGAATCTCAAAGCAGCTGAAGATCCCGAATATTAAAGGTAAATTTAAAAATAGAAAGAATCGTAAATCATGAAGTAGAAGAGAATGACTAAATATAAAACAATTATGACTATGAATAATACAAACCATCATAGCAATAAACTGGCGCTTAAGTAAAGATATGAAATTGAGACTCTAATGAAAGAAAGAGATAGATATAAAAAAGACTAAGTTGATAAGATGAAAAATAGAATGAATTCATTTATGTAAGATAAAATGGACAAGGGGCTTGATTTGGAAGCAAACAAAAAGATCTCAACTGACATTAATAAAGTTAAAAATTTTTACAACATGTAGTATGACTCTACTATAAGACTTGAGATACAATCTTGATTTTTTAGAATTTTTATTTTAATTTCATAAATATCTGGACTTATTCGGTTAAATGGGGTTTTGGGGTTTTGGGGTTTTG